AGTTTACTACTTTTTCTGCCCCAAAATCCCACTTAGGATACCACATTATATTTTGTAGTCACGTGATAGGATCTTCTGGCTAGGACAGTATTTTGGACTTTCCTTGCTTTTGATGACCCTGAGGGTTTGCAGGCGTAATGGTCAGGTATTTTGTAGGAGTTCTTTAGAAGGTTCTTCCATTGAGATTGTCCTAATATCTTTTCTCCTGTTTGAGTTAGAGTTAGAGGCTTTGGGAGGAAGGCCACAAGGTAGAGCTCATTCACTGCACTGTGTCAAGGGTTCACACAGTCAGCCTTGATCAGTTGTTGGTGATGGCTTGACCCCCGAGCTGAGGTAGTGTGCCAGGTCTCCCCACTGTCAAGCCACCCCCTGCCCCACCCCCACTGTATTCTTTGGAAAGAAGTCATTGCGCGGAGTCCTCCTGGGAGAGTAAGAAGTTATGTTCCACCTCCTTGAAGGTCATCTATCGACACAGATCATTGGGAATTTTTCTGTGCAGGACATTTGTCTATTTTCTCTCTTATTTATTCAATTATGTATTTATATCATGTTTATTTTATACTTTGGGTTATCATCCATTACTACATAATTTATTTCTTTGCTCAAATTGTTCTATCTTTAGCCACTGTCATCTCTTTCAGTTGACTCCTGGGTTCCATTGACACACTCCCATGATTGTGGATTTTTTGTTTTGCTTTTTGAGTTCTTTACTTCCTGATACTACAAGATCCTCCAGGCCTGTCTTCTAGTTTCCTGCTCTAATCCTAGGAACAGCCAGTTCTCCAGGGAGCTCTGCTTCCTTTTATGAAAGAATGATATTAGAAACCAAGATGGGGGACCAGCATTTAGCGTAATGGCTATGTCGCTTGACTCCCATGTAGTCAACTGCGGTTCGCGTCCCGGACCGGGTGGCTTAAAACTCACGCTGGGCTTGTGTGCATGTGTGCCCAAGATCCCAAGAGGAGAATGGAGGAGAAGGGATTGCAGCGTGGCCATCCCCTCTGGGGGGTGATTTCTCGCTTTCTATCTCTCTGTCTCTGTCTGTCCGGCGAGCGCACGCGCCCTATAGCGAAAACCTTTCCAAAAAAAAAAAAGAAACCAAGATGGGGGGGCAGCAAATGCCATAATGGTTATGTTGCTGGACTCCCACAGAGTTGACCATGGTTCAAGTCTCAGACTTGACAGCTTGAAACTCATGCTGGGCACATGTGCATGCATGCCCAAAATCCTGTGAGGAGAATGGAGAAGAAGGAATTATGGCCTGGCCATCCCCCTTAGGGGTGATTTCTTTCTTTCTGTCTCTTTCTCTCTCTCTCTCTCTTTGGTGAGTGTACATGCCCTATAGTAAAAATCTCTCTCTTTATAAAAAAAAAAAAAATGCGAGAAGGGTCCAACAGGTAGTGTGCTGGTTAGGGCTCTGGACTCCCACATGACCAACCATGGTCTGAGTCCTGACCTGGCAGCTTGCTTTCTCACTTTCTCTCTTTTCCTGGTGAGTGTACTTGCCCTGAAGCAAATTAATAATAATAAATAAAATTAATCATTCGTTGACAGAAAAAAAAAAAAAGAAGTTTATTACTGGAGGGTTGTGTGTATTTCTTCTCAGCTGACAGGATATATATATCCTGTATGTAATTACCCATATCTATGTTATCTGTATTAAGCTAAACCTAAGTTAATATACATGCTCCCATTTTAATCCACTACCATTCCACATGGATCATTCTAGCCTTCTCCCCTTGGTTACCTCCTACTTAAACAGAAAAAAAAAGTCTGGCTCCCACCGTCCACCATCTGTTTATGTGTTAATAAACAAATAGTGGCATACATACACAGATACAGCAGTTCTCAAATTAATATGTACTCCCATGGTAAACAGCTTTACCAACTCTAGGACAGTGCTGTGTTGCAGTTCATTTTGTCTTTGGTCTTACAGACTCCATTCACTCCCAGAGTTGCTGGGGTCAGCACCTTTCCCTCCCCAGCACCTTCAGCAAGGTGGTTTCAGACTCATGTAATACACAAATATGAAAAAGTTTATATATTTTTAAAATTTTATGTTTTCCAGAGGGCATGTGTGGTTGCCCAGAGAGAAAAAGTGAGAAAGCACCACCTGTGTGAGATGATCACACTGCGATCTCTCTATTTCTCCCTCCTCTGGGGATTTGGGCATGTACACATACACTCTCAATGTGTTTTTCAAGCCACCAGGTCTGAGACTCAAACCACATGGTCAGCCATGTAGGATCCAGCTGTCTTAACCACCGTACCACTGGATGACTCCATATATTTTTAATGCAATTCAGATTTCTTCATCACAGTGTGTGTTCTATCCAAGGATCTTCTGACCTTCTAAATGATTTTTTTTTAATTTACATACATTAAGATTCACTCTGTTCTATAAAATTCCGTAGTTTTTTCTCAGTCCATAGTGTCACATACTCATCTGTCTCAGACCTTTTGCTTTTGTTTTCCATCTGCCTTGAATATTCTTTTCACATATTTCCCTATGACTGGCTCTGTCTGCATTGAAATCTTTTCTCAAGTGCCTCCTCGGGTAAGCCTTCCTTGAGCATCAGTCCAGAAGGATCTCCTAGAACCTGTTTATCTTCTGTGTGTGTGCATGCGTGCGTGCATGTGTGAGCTTTGTCTTGGTTAGCCTTCCTCTGATATGCAGGTGTAATGAGAGCAGGACTGTATCCATTCCTAGGTATCTGGAATACTGGGCAGTGACTACGTGTTGATAATTAAGTGAGTGATCCTGCCCTAGGTGTGTCCAGCATTAGTTATTCCTAGTAGCAATTGAAAGCAGGTTTGTTCAGTTGAGCTTGCAGCTTATTCTTACACAAGGGTTTTGCTTATAAATTAGGTTAAGTATTTTGGTATATTGCAGATCCAAGAGTTTTTATGAGCATTAGAGCTCTTAATGGAGCTTGTTGATTTCCACATTGAAATTTTTACAGTATTTTAAACTCTAAGATAAATTTTATTAGCAAATGTATGTACTACTGTGTGATTTTAAAACAAAACAAAACAAAACAAAACAAAAAACAGTTGCACACTTGAAGAATGAAAATTTCAGGGCCAGCAGATGGCATGGTGGTTAAGGTGCTGGGCTCCCACATGGTAAGCTATGATTTGAGTCCCAGACCTGGTGGTTTGAAAATGACACCAGGTGTGTATGCATGTGTGCCCAAAATCCTGACAGGAGAATGGAGGAGAAGGGATTGTGGTGTGGCCATCCTCCCTGGGGTGTGGGTATCTGTGATTTTCTACTTTCTCACCCCTCACACTCTCCGCAAGTGCATGCACCCTATAGCAAAAACCTTTAAAAACAAACAAAAAAGAATGAAACTTTCGTTTTGAGTTTTATTTTGTTTTTAAAGTTCTGGGAAGGATATCTAGTCCAAATTAAACCCTCATGTTGCACTTAAAGGAAGCTAAATTCGGATTTGAAACATCCCTTTTCGTGGTCACAGGGTACAGAATCAAGGCAAGACCGGTCTATGCTGTCACATTATTATCAGGTTGAGATCGAACTCTTTGCCATGATGCCTGATAGTTAAGAGGAGTTTTTTTAGGATAGAAAATTTTATCTTACTCACCTCTGTTTTTCTTGGACGTAGTCAGTGGTATATAGAATAGGCACGCAGTAGACATTTGTTAGAATGAAGAAATGGATGGATTTGACCTTTGTATTGGACCTTGAAGGAAGACTAGAGTTTAGCTCTGAAAATTCTGGCTATGTGCTATATACACAGACTGTTAGATTTACTAAATACTGGACACCAGGAGGGACATAGACAATGACCTAGAAAGCAAGACGTCACCTCCTGGGGGGATGGCCACGCTGCAGTCCATTCTTCTCCATTCTCCTCTCGGGATCTTGGGCACGCACGCACACGCGCCCGGCGTGAGTTTAAGCCACCAGGTCCGGGACTCGAACTGCGGTCGACGACATGGGAGTCCAGCAGTGTAGCCATTAAGCCAACTGCTGGTTTCAGTCCCACTATTTTTTAAAATTGTATTTATTTTTTCTTAATTTGCCAAGGACAATGTGCTTGCCAAAGACAGACAGAGGAGGAGGTATCATCTTCCCACACACAGTGGGGCCTGGTCATGCTGCAATCCCTTCTCCTCCATTTCTTTATCCTTTTGGGATTCTGGGCATATCCTCTTGAGGGCATGGCACATTTTTTAAACCGTTGGGACTAAAATTTGAACAGCATGGTTGGTCACGTGGGATCTGGCTTCCTTAACCAGGGCCACAGGGCTGGCCCTTAGACTCTTTTATTTTGGAATTATTTATTTAATTTTGTTTATTATTACCACCATCTTTTCATTTGGCCAGAGATTTGTGGTAGGGGCGGGGTGTTGGGGGGAGGCGAGAAAGCAAGTCTCTAGGTCTAGGACTCCAACTACTGTCAGCCATGTGGGAGTCCAGTGCCTTAACCACCATGTCACCTGCCAGCCCCCATAGACTTCTTAATAAAAAGTTTTACATAGTTCATGCTGTAAGCTAGGTTATATACCAATCTTAATGTATGTAAATTTAAAAAAAAATCATTTAGAAGGTCAGAAGATCCTTGGATAGAACACACACTGTGATGAAGAAATCTGAATTGCATTAAAAATATTTGGGGTCATCCAGTGGTACGGTGATTAAGACAGCTGGATCCTACATGGCTGACCATGTGGTTCGAGTCTCGGACCTGGTGGCTTGAAAAACACATTGAGAGTGTATGTGTACATGCCCAAATCCCCAAGACATGCCATTTTACAGGTAAATAATTAAACTGCATTACAATATTATGAACAGAATAATTTAACATTAAATAATATTTTGCTAAACTTGGAGGTTGAAGAAATCTTTAATTTTTTAGCTTGAATTTGAAAGGAGAATGTTGATTTTAATTAGCAGTCTTCTAATGAGAGCATTGAAGATTTACATAGGTACCATTTGGTTTTCCCCAAGTAACTTTTTGTTTTTATTCTTTCAGGATCTGACTGGCATAGAATCTATGGATCAATGTCGCCATACTTTGGAACAGCATAACTGGAACATAGAGGTATAAAAGGTTATTTGTTTTCCTCTGATTTGATAAAGAGTCAAAAAAAAAATATTTTTCCAGTGCGAGCCACGAGGCCTAGTGGGTAAGGAACTGAAGCCCACGTGGCCAGCTGCAGCTTGCATCCTATTTCTGGTGGCTTGAAAAACATGCTGGGCTTGCGGGACCAGCAGTTGGCGTAATGGCTATGTCACTGGACTCCCACGTAGTCGACCGCGGTCCGAGTCCCGGACCCCGTGGCTTAAACTCACACCGGGCTTGTGTGTGGGTGTGCCCAAGATCCTGAGAGGAGAATGGAGGAGAAGGGATTGGGGTGGCCATCCCCCTGGGGGAAGATTTCTCACTTTCTGTCTGTCTCGCTCTGTCTTTATGGCAACCACACGCACCCTGTAGCAAAAACCTCAAAAACCTCAAAAAAAAAAAAAAAAAACCCAAAAAACGAAAAACATGCTGGGCTTGAGTACATCCATGCTTCAGATGTGAAGCAGAACAGAAAAATGGAGAAGGGATTGCAGTGTAACCACACCCTCTCCTCTCATTCTGTCTCTGGCAAATGCACACACCCTCTGGGCAAATGGGGGAGAAAATAGTTTTGATTTTCTACTTCAGCTCAAGATTATTTAGGAAGGGGAACCAGCAGTTAGCGTAATGGGTATGTCACTGGACTCCCACGTAGTCGACCGCGGTTTACATCCCGGACCCGTTGACTTAAAACTCACGCCAGGCGCGTGTGTGTGCGTGCCCAAGATCCCGAGAGGAGAATGGAGAAGGGATTGTGGCGTGACCATCCCCCCTGGGGGGTGATTTCTCGCTTTCTGTCTCTATGTCTCTCTCTGTCTGTCTGGCGAGCGCACGCGCCCTATAGCAAAAAACCTCTCCAAAAAAAAAAAAAAAAAGGAACATATTTGGAATTCCTAGTAGTTTGAGTTTTGGGGTTTCTTTTTGTCTATCTTTTTATTTTTTAAATTTTCTGTAGGTATCCGTTAAGATCTCTTTGTCATTTGAAATATTCTATCAACATTGTAAAATATATTTTTAGTTAAATATTTCAAACTTAGAGAGAAATATAAAGAGAACAACTATGTACCTGATATCTGGTTTCTGAAAATCAAACATTTTGCAATACTTGTTTCAAAATTTTTTAAAACAAATATGGATAAAATGAAAACTTCCTATAAGTTGTTTACGTGTCATCCTCAGCTATTGACAATGTGGTGTTTATCAAGTTAATGTGTTCTTCGTGGAATACAGGTTTGGTATGCTTGTTATCATAGTGGCTTACATGTAGTTATATAAAGATTTCTTTGTTTCCCAGGAATGTTATCTTATTTTTTCTGATTACAAAAAACAATTCATGTCTGTAAAAAATTTAGATCTTGGGGACCAGTGGGTGGCATGGTGGTTAAAGCGCTGGACACTCCCACATTGTTGACTGCAGTTCGAGTCTCAGACCTGGTGGCTTGCTTTCTCACTTTCTCTCTCTCTCTCATCAAATTAAAATAAATGAATGCATAAAATTAAAATAATTCTTTTAAAAAATTTAGATTATAAAAGTTCATGAAGTTGAAAATGAGAGTTTTTGATAATAGTCTTGAGATAACCATATTTGATATTTTAAAAGTATATATGTCTTTCCAGACTTTATTGTATGTGTAAGTTCATTTACATAGCATGGCAGTTATATCTATATATCTTTCTAATGTTAGTAATGGACACATCAAAGCAAATGTGTACATTTTGTACACTCTGTGGAAAGTACATGATGCAAGTAAAATAATACTAACATTCTAATTCTACTCTGGGGACTACTTTCTAACTTTGATAAAATTTGACGCTATTGTATTTGGCACATGAAGACGTGGCTGTTACTACTTTCTTGCAGTAATACCCTCTGTTAACATCAGATTGTGTTTTTTGTGTTTTTTGCGTAGAATTTTCATTTGATCTATTAATATTACTGCCCCTGTTTTATTTATTTAACTTTGGTTCACAGTTATCTGGTATAATGTTAACCGTTTTTTGATATGAAATATAAATGTATTAAAAAGCTTGTAAAAATACCCATGCTCATATGTGTGCCTACACAGGCAGAGCATTCCAAAAGTAAAGAAGAAAAAGCCCACCACTTCAGGAATAGCTGGCAGTATATCTTGGTGGTATCCTTTTAAGCCTTTTCTGTTTATCATAGTCTATAATATATGGCTATATAAATTTATACATTATTTCCTTCTCATACAAATGGTTTATGCTATATATATAGTTTTTTTTTTTTTTAATTTAGTCTTTTTTTTTTTTTTTTTTGGAGAGGTTTTCGCTATAGGGCGCATGCACTCGCCAGACAGAGAGAGACATAGAGACAGAACGCGAGAAATCACCCCCAAGGGGGATGGTCACGCCGCAGTCCCTTCTCCATTCTCCTCTTGGAATCTTGGGCACGCATGCACACGCGCCCGGCGTGAGTTTTAAGCCACCGGGTCCGGGACGCGAACCGCAGTTGTCTACGTGGGAGTCCGGTGACACAGCCATTATGCTAACTGCTGGTTCCCTAATTTAGTCTGTTTTAATAACTAAAAAAAAAACCACATAAGTACATAAAAATCATTTTAGTTTTCAAAAAGTTCAAAGAACTTTCTAAAAGTTCTAAGATGAAATATGATAAAAATGCCACTCAAATCACTTTCCTATCACTATTTCTCTATCCTACTCCTCCATGAACTATATTAATAATTTGAGGGGCCAGCAGGTGGCATGGTAGTTAAGGGCGCTGGACTCCCACATGGCCAACCTGGAAGCTTGCATTCTCATTCCTCCCCCCTCACTCTGTCCCTCTGGATTTTGAACTTGAATCGTAGTCAGCCATGTGTGAGTCTAGCAACATAACCATTACGCCATCTGCCAGTCCCAGATTATCTTTTTGATATCGAATTTTAAGAGTTCTTTTTTCTTTCTTCAAGTTTATTTCTTCTATCAGAAAACACGACAGACCTAGGGGTCAGAGGAAAGGTATCCCTAGTAGTGCCTTCACACCACGGGCATGGCCTAGATTACGGGCACATGCATGTTACACAGTATGCCCAGGGAGGGCTTGGGATATGAGCCCGAGATCTTTCTCATGTAGGTTCAGTTGCATTGCCACTCTGCCACCCCATAACCCCTAAAAGCTCTGTATACATATTCCAGGCACCAGAGTCTCATCAGATATGTAATTTGTAAATATTTTCTTCCATTCTGTGAGTTGTCTTTACTCTCTTGATAGAGCCCTTGGATGCATGAAAGTTTTGCACTTCAATGAAATCCACTTGATCTACTTTTTTTCTCTTGCTTCCTGTGTTTTGGTATCATAACTAAGATACCATTGCCTCATTCAAGGTCATGAAGATTTATACCCCCGTTTTCTTCTATTTAAGAGATTTATAATTTCACCTTTTACCTCTAGGCCTTTTGTATATTTTGAGTTAATTTGTGTATATAGTGTGATTAAAGGCGTTCAAGGATTTTTTTTTGCATGTGGATATTCGGTTTCCCTTGCATGACTTGTTGAAAGGTTATTCTTTCCTAACAGAATGAAACTAGGAGACTACCTGGAATTAGCCCAACCACAAAGTTTAAAGCCATGTATCAAGTTTAGAGGGCACACGGGCCTCCCAAAGCTCACCCTCACTTCTTAAACCTCCCTCAAGTTTGATAGTTCAAAGGAAAATTCACCAAAAACTGTTAAAATTATAGTTACAGTGTATTACAGGGAACAGATACAAATTAAAATCAGTTAAAGGGGGACCACCGGTTGGCATAATGGCTATGTTGCTGGACTCCTAGGTAGTCGACCACGGTTCGAGTCCTGGACCTGATGGCTTAAACTCAGGCCAAGTGCATGTGCACGCGTACCCTATAGCAAAACCTCTCTCAAAAAACCAATCAGTTAAAGGGAAAGACACAGAGGGTCGTGTCTCGCAGGGTTCCATCTGTGGCGCTTG